TCAGCTGACAACACCAAAAAATTTAGCCTTCCAAAGGGAGAGTTTTGCCACAACATGCTGTAAGTCATTCAGAACCCAACTCTAGTGCTATTGAAGCACGAGTTTTCATTAGAAAATAAACATGTATTAGTTTTTTCTTTTGTTTATTTATTTGTTGTTTTCTTGATGGAACAGTTCGCAGCAGAAAACTATAATTAACGCAATGGCTGTGAACGAGGATGGTGTAATGGTCACTGGAGGTAATTAAAATCCATTTCCCAAATCCTTTTTGTTTGTGGTCGTTTTTTTCCAGCACCTTGCCTTCAGTTTCAGTTTTAACTAAAACTGGTCCTATCTATATGTACGATTTAAGGTGATAATGGAAGCATATGGTTCTGGGACTGGAAGAGTGGTCACAGTTTCCAACACACAGAAACTATTGTACAACCTGGTACGTACATTCATTAGCTTGTTTCATGCTCCTTTGTTCTTGATTTGCTTGTAAAGTGAAGATTGTAGAAGTCTCATTGCCATAAAACATTACCACGTTTTGAGTCTTTGACCCAATTGGGGGTGTTAATTAGTGTTATGTTGGGAATATGGCAGGTTCACTGGAGAGTGAGGCAGGTATATACGCAGCGTGTTATGATCAGACAGGCTCAAGATTGGTAACATGCGAGGCTGATAAGACGATAAAGATGTGGAAAGACGATAAAGATTGGAATAACACATCTTCTTTCTATAGCTTAGTCTTGGACCATATAAGCTTATGCTTGATTTTTTTTTAAAAAATTTACTTCTGCAGAAGTTAGTTGATGCTCGTATTGTGCTTCTCTTTTGCGTTTCAGGATTGGTAAACTTAGAAACCATTGCATCAGGTAACTCTTAGTTGGTTTCTTCTTTTTGTTTTGGAACATTTAAATGACTATAGAATGGAGACTTAATATGTTCATTTCCAAGTACGTTGGTTCAAAATTTACATAAGATAAATGTAAAAGAGTGAAGGGTTGGGTTTCTTTGTAGCTGGTTTTATAATATGTTTTACCTTTAATCATGTTGTACTTTTGTTTTTCTTCTGTTAAGTTTCTATCTTTTTGATATGTTAACTTTGAAAAGTGCAGGCTGATAATTGTCCTTTGAGGAAGCTACAAATAGCGAAGCTTTTAAGTGGACATTNTTTCTATCTTTTTGATATGTTAACTTTGAAAAGTGCAGGCTGATAATTGTCCTTTGAGGAAGCTACAAATAGCGAAGCTTTTAAGTGGACATTGCATGGGAGCCCAATGTTTTGAGTGGAGCATTGGAAGTGCAATTACAGACTTACTTGTGTAGACTTGTGTAATCATTTTTTTTAAGAACTCTAAAATAAGAGACTATTATTGTAACCATAAAAAAAGGGGAAAATTGCATTTTAAATACTCAAGTTGGCAAAAGTTTACACTTTAAACCTTGATGTTCAACATCTAACACTTTAAACAATGAAAGTAATTTCAATAACATATTAAACATTGGAACTAACTAACTTGTTCGCCACGTCAAAATTGTGACCGGTACTGTACACTATCAGGTCAAAATGATGACGTGGCACTCACTTTTTTAAAAAAATATATATATTTTAATTAATAAATCAATAAAAATGATTAAAATAAAGAAAAAATAGTTAAAAGTAAATATAAAATAAATAAAATTATCTTAAAAATAAAAAAATACTAAAAAAATTTAAAACTTACAAAAATTATTTTAAAAATACAAAATGTTTCTTCAAAATTAAATAATAATTTAAAATAAATTCAAAAATTAAAATAAATCGCAAAATTAAGAAAGTTATAAAATATATAATTTTCATATACTTCAGTTTTCAAAATTTAAAATATTTAAAATTCTCTTAAAAAGATAATTTTATTAAAATTTTGAAGATAATTTTTTCAGTTTTATTTTTTAAAGATAGTTTTATCCAATTTATCTTAAAAATAAAAATTAGTAAAAATTTTAGAACTCATTAAGATGGTCTCTGGCATACAAATTTTAGACCATCTTAATGAGTTTTAAAAATTTTACTAATTTTTATTTTTAAGATAAATTGGATAAATTTATCTTAAAAAATAAAAATGAAAAATATCTTCAAATTTTAATAAATGTAGTGTGTTTTTATTATTATTTTTAATGAATGTTAAATTATATTCAATAAAAAGAAACTGTTCTGAAGATTTTTTTTTCATTTTTATTTTTTAAAGATAAATTTATCCAATTTATCTTAAAAGTAAAAATTAGTAAAAATTTTAAACTCATTAATATGGTCTAAAATTTGTATGCCAGAGACCATCTTAATGAGTTCTAAAATTTTTACGAATTTTTATTTTTAAGATAAATTGGATAAAACTACCTTTAAAAAATAAAACTGAAAAAATTATCTTCAAATTTTAATAAAATTATCTTTTTAAAAGAATTTTAAATATTTTAAACTTTGAAAACTGAAGTATATGAAAATTATATATTTTATAACTCTCTTAATTTTTGGGATTTATTTTAATTTTTGAATTTATTTTAAATTATTATTTTATTTTTAAGAAACATTTTGTATTTTTAAAAATAATTTTTGTAAGTTTTAAACTTTTTAGTAATTTTTTTAAAGGTAATTTTATTTATTTTATATTTACTTTTAACTATTTTTATTTATTTTAATCATTTTTATTGATTTTTGAATTAAAATATTTTTTTCAAAAAAAAAATTGACTGACACGTCATCATTTTGACCTGGTAGTGTACAGTACCGGTCACAATTTTGACGTGGCGAACAAGTTAGTTAGTTTCAATGTTTAATATGTTATTGAAATTACTTTCATTGTTTAAAGTGTTAGATGTTGAACATCAAGGTTTAAAGTGCAAACTTTTGCCAACTTGAGTATTTAAAATGCAATTTTCCCATAAAAAAAGTGATGTTACTTATTAGTCTTCTTTCGTGTAGACTTACTTGTATAGACTTGTGTAATCAGTTTTTTTAAGAAACCTAAAATAAAAGACTACTATTGGAGCCATAAAAAAGTGATGTTACTTATTAGTCTTCTTTTGTGTAGACTTATTACTTGACAAAGAAAAATATAACATAAGTCTATCACAAGTTCAACACAGACTAAAGACCTACAAATCCAATAGAAGACAACTCAAATCAATGAAACACTAATACACAACTCATAAGTTCGACACATAACACTAACACATCTAGAGTTTTTCACCACCCATTCTCTGTATACAATGAGTAATTGAGCCATCTCCTACAAAAAAAAATATGGTTTACATAATTAGCAAACAAAAATTTCATGTTTGATAAAATTATAAAATAGATTTACAAGTACATCTACAATAATTAGCAAACAATATAGTTAAACCAAAAATTATATCATAGACTTACAAGTACGTCTACAAATTTTAAGCTAACAACATAGACAAACAAAAAATTTGATAACTTCCTAATTATAACAGATTATCTTCTGAAAATCATTCAAGACCCTTCTGATTAACTAACACACACTTTCATAAAAAAAAAGTTTTGAAAAAACTTAATGAATAATACACAAATCCACTTTTGATAGATTTTACATGGTAGACTACATATTCAATCTACAGACCTGTAGACGTTTTATTCAGTTTACAGGTTGTAGACTGAACATTAGGTCTACGTTTAGGTTGGTTTTTGCAATTGCCAAATTCATGGGTTACTTTCTGTATTTGAAAAAAAAAAGGATTTTATACGAGTAGACTTACTTTTCAGTCTACATTTTTTAAGAGGTTGGTTTTGCAATTGACCAGAATTCGATCAGAGTTTGACTTTTAGAAGTAGACCTATTATGCAGTCTACACTTTTAAATTTATTGGAAAGAGATTAGTTTTGCAATTGACCAAAGTTGACTTTCTAAGAGTAGACAGAACTAAATGTCTACGTAAATGTAGACTGCAGTAAAAGTCTACACTATAACCCGACATGTTAGTTTTGCAATTGACCAAAACAAAATAGTAGACTTCTTATGCAGTCTACGTTTTTTTTCTAAGTTTTGTAGACTGCATATGAAGTCTACACGTAAAGTAAGTTATTTTCTTAGTTTTGTAGACTGCATATGAAGTCTACACGTAAAGTAAGTTTTAGT